GAATTTTGATGGGAAACTTAAGGAAAGACATTAACCTACTCTATTGACTGGAATTGATATTGAGAATATGTTGCGGGATTTTCCAAATGAATTTGGAAAGAAGCAAAAGAAACCAAGGCGTGCTGAGGATGATCCGAATCCGTGGAGAAAGATACCCATTTTTTTTAGTTACCATATTGGAAGCATTGTCTTAATCGTCATAATCTTGATGTAATGCATATTGAGAAAAAATGTGTTTGATAGTGTTATTGGGACATTGTTAGACATTTCTCAAAAGACCAAGGATCATGTGAGTGCTCGTCAAGATTTGGTAGAGCTTAATTTGATGCCAGAACTTCAACCAATAGAATTAGAAGATGGTGCGGAGGAATTTCCAAGATCTCACTTTTGGATGTCATTATATTGGAGCAAAAACGCAAATTCTGCCAGGTCTTTAAAAATGTCAAGCTTCCTCAAGGCTATGCTTCTAACATTGGTCGAAGTGTGCAAGTTGGAGAAAGGAAAATTGCAGGCTACAAAAGCCATAATGCTCATTTTATGATGAATTATTTGCTCCCAATTGCAGTGAAGACAACATTACCCAAAGATGTTGCTACTCCTTTGATAAGACTTTGTGCTTTTTTTAAAAGTATATGGAGTAAAACTGTTAATCCTCAACATATTGGAAAAATGCAATCTGAGATAGTTGAAACTTTATGCTTACTTGAGAGGATTTTTCCACCTGCCTTTTTTGATATAATGGTACATTTACCGATACACTTGGTGGGCCAAATTAAGTTGGGTGGGCCTATAAGTTCAAGGTGTATGTATGGAATTGAGAGGTATCTTCATGGACTGAAGCAAGATGTTTGAAATAAAGCTCGTCCAGAAGGCTCAATGGCAGAAGGATATCAAGCCAAAGAATGTATTGCCTTTGTAGCTAGATTTTTGAAACGATCAAGCACGACCATACCTAAGGTTAATGGTTGTAGTACATCACAATAATTTTTTTCTAAGGTAGGACGTCCAATAAAAGGGAAAGGAAGGACCTCAAAGAAAAAAAAAAAACGTGAACACATAATTGATCCCATTACATGGGCACAAGCGCATCGTTATGTCTTGTTCAATTGTGATTGTGAGGAAGTTGAGAAATATATCAGGTTAGATTACCAACCAAAATGTAGTTTTTTCTTTCTTTTTCTCTTGGTTACTAATGTGTTTTATTTGTAGTGATAATAATATAATCTTTTTATATTTCATAGTGAGCACAAGATATGTGTAAGCGCTAGAAGAAAAAGGAAATGGAATAGTGCTCAAGATCACAGCAAGGATTTTGTGGATTGGTTTAGGGATAAAGTTGATTTGATTCTTAAAGAGGGTCAAGACATCATCCCTAACCATATCTTATGGTTATCAAAAGGGCCTTCTCACATTGCTAAAAAGTACACAGGGTACTCAGTCAATGGTTATAGGTTCCATACCATGAAGCGCGATGCAAACTGTGTCACTCAGAATAGTGGAGCCACTCTAACAGCCATGACACATAGCTTTGCGAGTTCCAAAGATCAGAATCCTATTGAGGGAAATGTTAATTATTATGGTTCAATAATAGAAATCATTGAAATATCTTACCATGGCTACTTTTGTGTTGTCTTATTTAAGTGTGTTTGGTTTCACTCGGAAATGGATGATGATGAGCTTGTTATGATTAATATGTGTAAGACCATTTCCAAAGAAGAACCATTTATATTGGCTTCTCAAGCACATCAAGTGTTTTATGTTGAAAATCTTAATAGAGATGGTTGGCAGTATGCTATTCAAATCCTACCTAGAGAGCTTTCAGATGGTATTGACATACAATTTTAAATAATTCACTACATTCTCAAGATAGCTTATTTTATATTGCAATACTTTTCATATTTTATTATCTTTTTTGGAAAATAAACGTGTTCTCATTTATTGTCTTTGCAGATGAAGGGGAATAAAACAAAAGTTTTTGCTTCCCAAAGTCAGGTTGCAGATTATGAGTTACAAAGGCTTCAAAGATTAAAGTTCAATGCAGAAAGAATGTCAGCCCAAGGATCGGGATCCTTAGCGAATAAGATACTTCAACAAAAAAACAAAAGACCTACTTTCTCCAAGTGCAAGGCAGACAGAAGATGACTCCACGTCAGAGTATGATGCTGAAGAGGAGGGCAAAACTATGGAAGATGACAGTCTTGTGTCTGGAAAAAGAAAGGTAAGTAAACTTGTTCCCTTCCACCCCCCCCTTCCCCTGGGTTTCTCTCTATCAACATCAAGGTGATGCAATGTAGGCCCATGGCATTGATTTTTTAGCTATGACTTTGAACTCAATGTATGCAAGCTTGTGAGGCTGCGATTGTTGGTCTTCAGCCACTGATTTAGGGCCACATTATAGATTAAAGGCAAGTTATGTTATGAACGAAGTTTTTCTCCTTTTGTGTGTGTGTGTGTGTGGATGGGACTATTCTGGTATATAATAGAGAATTTGTCTGAGCTTCTATCATTGACAGAGATGTGAGATTGAAGGCAAGACGTGTGATTTAGGGCTAAATATGAAATGCTTAGCGTTATGCTCTACTAATAAGAGAAAATCCACTGTTGATGTCTGGAGATTACGTACTAGCATTGTAATTGATAGTCATATCTTGTGAAAGTTAAAGAGCTCTGTCTGGCAGCTGATCTATTATAAATAATTTATAAGCTTAAGAAGATGGTGAATCATTTGTTTTGGCTGTTTGGAATAAGTTAAGGCATCAATGGAAGAGGTCAGATCAACCTAAACTTCTTTGTTAAATTCTCTGTTTTTTGTTTCTTTCTTTGGATGAAATTGATATTGCTTTCTTTAATCATTATGTCTAGGTGTATCATAGGTCCATAGTTGGTCAGTTGTATGACGTGCAATATTTGGCCCTTGCTTTAAATTTCTGGAAACTTCTGATTATGGTAATTTTTCTCTTTTCAAATATTCCTACTCATACTTTATTTTACTATGGCTGGGTTTAAAACATTGAAGTTAGTATGCTATGTAATTACTTTTTGGCTTATGTTTTTAGGTCTCAAAGAAACCACATTTAATTCGCACACGTAAAATGGCTATTGTGGAGATGAATAGCCAGAAAAGGCAGCATGTTGATGACTTTTGCAACAATAACTCTGTTGATTTGGCCAAGCAAGTTCAGGATCATGGCATCCAACGGAAGCAACAACAGCAGCAAGTTGGTTAAAAAATAAAGGCAAAAAAGAGCATTCTGTTCTCCTTGTTCAATGCCAGCATACCTTGAGATTCGAAAACGACAAATAGAAAACAATGAAGTACTTAAAGAAAGTAATCGTTCTTCGCATAATTCCATGACAGCGCGAATACGATATGACAATGGTGCATTGAATGCGAATAATGATAATAATGCCATATATGAGAATGATGATGATGATGGGCTGAATGAGAATGATGATGATGATGGGCTGAATGAGAATGTCGATGCTATTGATATTGATCGTGAAGGCGATCAAGAATTTGACCAGCAAGATGTAGCACAGTATGGAATGGAAGGTATGGTTTTCAATATTTGTCATTTTTGCTGAAATTTATACACAACTTCAATACTCATACTGTATTCAATACAGTAGATGTTTCAGAAAAAAAAAATACTACGTAAAATAAAATTATGGGTTTTGGCTTGTTTTTTTTATAATTAATACAAATAAATAATAATTATTTTGGGAGTTTGTTGTCAAATTGTTTCTGATAAGTTAAAGTGGCTGTAAAGTTCGAATTTTATACTCCAAATGAGTTAGCGGGGCTGAAAAGTAGCAGAAACAATCATAAAATCTTATAGTAGGAATGAATGGATAACAGTGCCAGTAACTTCTGATTTCATATTACTAATCTAGTTTTTCCTATATTTTTTGCAAACGGTTTTTCCTGTATTATTGCATACAGAAACAGAAAATGAATTATCTTCTAAAAGGAAAAATCATCGATGTCCAACAATGCTACGTAAGGTTCATGCGCGTACAACAGAAGAGCGTCAAGTGATTGTTTTGAACTCATTGGGTTAGCCAGTTGGACCTACAAAGGAGATAATCCAAGAGTTCAAGTTTTTCTTGGGAACCGTGGCAAGGGATTCCGAACTGGCTCCGCTTAACTATTTTAACTTCCCAAGCCTACCCACACTTGACAAGATATGGAATTACGTCCAAGTATGTAGTGATATTATCGTTTTGCATTACTTTATTCTACTTTCCTCATACTTAGACCTCCACACGTTACTAATGTATTAACATAAGAATTTGTGCAGGAAAAGTTTATGGTTCCATCCTGATGGTGGAATGAGTTGGGTGATGGATGCTGTGAACAACTGTTGGAGGTATCATAAATGCCAGATCAAGAAAAAACACTTCTATGCATATTATAATGACGCTTTAAGGTGGAAAAATAAGCCTGATACAATTTCAAATCTTCAGTTTAGAGATCTTTTGCTATATTGGAATACCGATGAGGCTAAGGTATTGTATAAATGGATTTTAATCTATTATCGTTGTTTATTTTAATCACATATATATATTTAATTGAATTATTGTTGGATTGTAATATTTTATAGAAAATCAGTCACAACAACAAAGACAATCGTCTAATGTTAGATGATATGCACACTTTGGGTCGTAAGTCATTTGCCATGAATTGGTAAATACTTTTATCTAATTATAGACAATTACATGATCAATTTCATGTTCATCACTTATCCTATATATATGAGGCTTTACCCTTTTTATTTAACATTTATAGCGGCAACAAGATCCGGATAAGCAAGAGCCTTCCCAAGCAAAGGTTTATAGGGAATCGAGAAAAAGAAATTCTGGAATTGAAGGACATACAAAACTAGCTGTGAAAAAGCAAAGGAGAACATTGTGAGTTAGCATCTTAGATATAATTTGTATTTGTGTGTATTTTGTTCGATAATTGCTAATAAAATGCTATATTTACCTAATAGGCCAAAATGGATGCTGTGGAGTCTTCCCAAGATGAAGATGGTAATAACTGCAATGACCCTTACTACGAAGTGATTCCTACTGCTAAACGCAAAATTGTGTGCATCTGTATGGATCGGGTGTGAAAAAGACAGATTTGAAGAAGAAAGCGAATAAGCCCGATTTCATATTCCCAAAGGAATTCATATCAAGTGTTACCACTGCAGTTTTGGCTCAAATTCGCGAGGCTAACCCTGGGATTAATATTGTGATTCCTGATGTTCTGCTGCAATCGACTCCGGATAATTCATCCAGTGCACCAATCCAAATCGAATCAGTAACCATAGTGGCCAATCTTCCAAATCAGGTGCAACATGTAATCGGGTACAACTAATATTTTCTCCTGCTTTTGTGTGTGCTAATATCTGAGGGTAGACTGGGGTAATACCAGCAACATTAGGCAACCTGCCTAATTTGACATATTTAAACTTAGGAAACAATTTCTTAACTGGACGTATCCTTGAAAATTTCTTCAACTGCACATCTTTGGAACAACTTTCACTCATTTATAATAATCATACAGGAAAAATTTCATCTAAGATAGGAAATTTAGCTTACCTCCAAATTTTCTTTGCTTATTCCAACAGATTAGAAGGTTCGATACCTGAAACTATTGGGAAGTTAACAACATTGACTGCATTAGACCTTAGTGGAAATCAGTTATTTGGAATAATTCCTCCCAGCATAGGAAACTTGATAAACATACAAACCCTACATCTCATGGAGAATAAACTTACAGCAAATATACCACCTGAAATAGGCCGCTGCAGAAGTCTAACTAATCTGTTTTTGTAAAGCAACAAAATAGAAGGCAGCATCCCTCCAGAGTTGGGTAATTTACGTAACCTGCAAGACCTAGTTGATTGTTTGCTCCAGGTTATAGTTGTATAAAATTTGTGTTCAGAAATCTGATACTTAATTTCTAACTCTGTAACATGTTTTTCTTTGCATGTACCATTGGAGTGATTGAACATCATACTATTAAAGTTGTATTCTTGTTGTTTTCTTGTTTGGTTTAAGTGTCACATTGGCTTAAGTTTCATAATCGTTCTTGATTAAGTATTTATTTTGTCTTTGTTGTCATCTCTCCCACACTTAATTGAATTAAGTTTGTGTGTTGGGGGGGGGGTATGGTTAGGACTCTTAGAAGTCTATCCCAAATTCTCAATCCAATGTTATGTTAGGAAGTGTAAAATTGTTATAGTAATTTGGAAATAGTACACGTGATTATTATTTTCAAATAAAGCGTTTAGCCTACATTACACTTGATTCAATCCAAAAAAAGAGGGGGAAAAAAAACTACTGGCAAATGCTCTGGTTTGCTATGTATTTCAGAATCAAACTACTCACAATGAGTATTACCTATGACCCTGAATACCTATTAGTTCAATTCACCAAAGGGGAGATCGACCATGATTGTTTTAGGAATATTAAGCAACAGCAGTGAAGTTGAAATTTGAGCAATGAGTCCGAATTCCGCTGAGTGGGCCACCGAAGCCCAACACTGACTTGCCTAGGTCAAATTTCATTTGTATATCCTGCATTTGATATAGCCCAATGTTGATATTAGCTCTGTACTCAATCCCACCATTCACAAATGCTAGGCATAACACTCCAGGTTTGGCCTCCACCATAGAGTTCAGGCCAAAAATGGACCAAACTGCATCCTAACCTTCTAGCTCAAGGTCGATGCTGGGAACTCCAAGCCCCAACAGAGTTGAAATAATATTTCGACTCGTAGCATAGCCCAAATAGTGCTATTGGCTTCACTTGTGGCACCTTAGAGAGCTGCTTAGCAAAAAATGAAGTAATGACCTTGAAACTGGATCCCTCTAAAATGGTGTAAGGTAATAGGGTGTTGAATGTAGCCCAATGCCCACTTTAGAGTATAGCATAGGACTGGGCTCGGTAATTCTGAGTGGTTTAGTAATTCCAGGCGTATTCTCATTACCTAAGTAAACAATACAAGGGAAATCTAATAACATGTTTTGTTTTTTTCTTGAGCTCTACCATTGTTATATTCATAATGATTCATCAGTGTTGGCCATAATACTTTATCAAGGTGTGGGTGAAATTTGGTGTTGCATGTCTGTTATTTGTATTCAGCTATGCTTCTTAATGACAACATGATATTTACAGTGCCTTATTTGTATCGTTATATTCAAGTATTAATTTCTTTTATTTTTACATGTAGGTGCATGGCGAGCTAGATGGAGATGAATGAAGTACAATGATTATATTTGTCATCCAACAAATGGAGCGTACATGTCGGTGACTAATTTTATTTAGTTGGAGCTTGTGAAGATTAGGATTTGTATTTTGGACGATTTTTAATTAGTAAACTTTTATTATTTATTATTAGTTAGTATCGGTAGTGTAACATATATATGGAAACAATATTTTGTAATGTAACGTACATATTATATATACTTCGTTTATTGTTATAAATATATTGATATATTTTATATTTATTGTTACCTTTTTAATTTAAACTAACTAACAAAATATATATGTATTCCCTCAAAAAAATATAATACGTAGTATATTTCATGTACAACCGTTGCATTAGGTGAAAATATACGTTGTATTAGGTGACATACCGTTATATTATGTGACATGTACCGTTGTAGTAGGTGGAAAATACCGTTGCATTAGCCTTGCCGTTGGATTAGGTCTATAGATCATGATTTTGTTGCATATTCATCTAATACAACGACAGCCAAAATGTCGTTGGTTAGGTATCAAGCTAATACAACGGCATGTACCTAATCCAACGCCATATTGGCAGCCGTTGTATTAGATGCAATAAGCCGTTGTATTAGGCCTAATACAACGCCAGCTGATGTAACGGTATACAGGCGTTGGATTAGGTCTAATACAACGGTTTTTAACACCTAATACAACGAAATTTGCTGTTGGATTTGATAAAAAATGTAGTAGTGCGGGTAAAGAGGTCTTAATTAAATCAATTGCTCAAGCAATCTCGACGTATGTAATGCAATGTTTTGTGCTTCTGGCTAGCATTCTCAATGAAATTGAAAGGTTGTACCGACATTTCTTTTGGGGTCAAAAAGACGAATAGAGGAAGCTGTGTTGGGTATTGTGTGGGAAAAATTATACACCTCAAATAAAGATGGAGGGCTTGGCTTTAGAAATATGAGAAACTTTAATAGTTCTCTCTTAGCAAAAAAAGCTTGACGCATTATTTCGAATCCGAACTCTCTTGCGGCAAGAGTTCTTAAAGCAAGTACTTCCCTCACTCGACATTATTTGATGCAAGGGTGTGCCCCAATGCGAGTTACACATGGAGGTTCTAAATACACTTTTCTCTCCGGTGGAAATTGCAAAAATTTGTAGCATTCATATCCACTTATATGATAGATTGGATGTGTGGATGTGGCATCACACTGGGCAATACTCGGTTAGAAGTGCCTACAATATGCTCACGGTGGAGCAAAAGCAAAATAAGGCTTTTACTTCGAGTTCGAACTGTAACTTTGAGTGGAATGTTATATGGCATGCTGAGGTCTCTCCGAAAATTAAACATTTTGCGTGGAAAGCTCTTAAGGGAGCTGTGCAACCCGTCAGAGTTTGATTCAAAGAGGTATATATGGAAATTGATCCTATATGTCCTTTGTGTGGTGTTGAGAATGAGAGTGTTTTGCATATGCTTATTTTGTGTGAAGACTCAACGTCTCTAGTGTTGAGTCCCTTAGGTTTTGATTGATAGTTTTGAATGATGACAAACAGCTAAGGGAAACAGGTCCTTGAAAGTGTTCGATACAGTTAGGGGAACCAGCTAACATAGAACACTGTTTTCCCAGACAAGTTATTACTTACATGAGTTTTCTTATTGAACTAACTTGTCTTTATACAGGGAACAGTTATATGATAAAAGTGTTATGTACTGGTAGGGAACCAGTATGTACTGTTTCCATGGTTGCTACGTGGTAAAGCAGTCACATACTCTTTATTGTGCATTAACCATGTTACATGTGCAGTAGTTGAGTTGATTCCAAGACTTGGAGCATAGAAGCCTTTCGAAGATATTTCGAAGAAAGATTGTTTGCTCATAATAGAAGTATTCAAGGAAGATTCAAGTCTTGAAGATTACATGAAGAAAAGACGATTTATGCTTTAATATGTTATCTAGGTTTTCATGTAATATGCTCCGTAGTATGCTTGCATGTTTGGGTTATATAAGTGCTTAAAAGTATATTGAAGTATGATATGAAATCTGGTACAAAGTTGGAACAGGTTTCATAACATGTTTCAATTCAGGGAACCAGGTTGGGGAACCAGGTTCACTGTATTCGAGCTGCCGTTTTGGAAAAAGATTTTACAAAAAGATTTTTTCGAAAAGATTATCTTGAAAATATTTTGTGCAGCTGGAAATAAGATGAAATATTCTTGGTTACCTAAAAACTAGGAGTATTTATCTTAATTGATTCTATCTTTGTGATTAAATCAAATAAGATAAAAACTTTCCTAAAATTACATTATATCTTATTCTCTAAGATTGTGTGATTTAAGGAAACTAGGTTTTAGGAATCTAAGCTTATATAAACTCATCTTATTTCACATATTTCGTGTGCCTCTCTAGAAATTAAAAGAGCAATTATTTGAGAGCATATACTTAAGCACTAATCCCATTCATCAAGTCATATACAAGAGCATCTAGTGTTTAATATTTTCTCTACATTAACTTTTGAGAGTTAGATCATTAGAGAGTTTTGATCTTGTAATTGAGTCTTTGGCAAAGAGGCTAAAGGCTGGGTGAGTGTTTGTGAGTTCAAACACGTTTAGAACTTACGAGGGTAAGTTGAGAGCATACTCGGAGTAGAGTGTGGGGTTTGCTGGTTCCCGGAGTAGGGAACAGCAGAGTGTTCTTTGTCTTTGTTTTTCGGAGTAGATTAATAAAGAACTTAGGATAGGAGGACGTAGGCCTGAGTTGGCTGAACCTCGTTAAATTTGTTGTGTTCTTTATTGCTTTGTTTTATTTCGTTAAATTTGTTGTCTTCTTTATTGCTTATTTATAATCCGCTGCGTACGGGAACCAGCACAACTGGTTCCTCACACATAATCCGAAAAGAAGCAAAATTAGCCAACGATTACTTAACACTCAATTCACCCCCCCCCTCTTGAGTGCCCATTGAACCTTCAATTGGTATCAGAGCCTAAGCTTCTCGAAAGAGTAACATCTAGAGGAGTTAAGAATGAGTACTCAAGAATTAAGTGCAATCGGTTATGACAACAAGTCACCCAAGTTTAATGGAAATAATTATGCTTGGTGGAAGAACAGGATCCAGAATGTTATCATGGGTATTGATTATGAATGCTGGCTCGTAGTTAAAAATGGTCCTAATATCATTCTCAAGACAGATGTTGAGGGGAACCAGGTTCCCAAGAAAGATAGCGAATTGGTCACTGCTGATTACAAGTTGCTGGAGAAGAATGCTAAGGCAATGTCAATACTACAACAAGCAATAGGTGAGACCGAAACAAATCGTATCTCTGGCTGTAGTAGTGCTAAGGAGATATGGGACACCCTTGAACTTGCGTTTGAGGGAACCAGCGAGGTAAAACGGTCTAAAATTGATTTAATCATGTCTAAATATGAATTGTTTGCCATGAATAAAAATGAAAAAATCAATGATTGCTTTCGTAGGTTTATGACTATTGTAAATGATCTTAGATCTCTTGGTAAAAATTTATCTGACGAGGATCTTGTGAGAAAATTATTGCGTAGTTTAACAGATGCATGGACAGCCAAGGTAACAGCAGTATACGAAGCA